TATTAAAAAACAAAGAGCTGGAAATAAGTGATCTTTGTCCTAACCTTGGATTATGAAATGTGCCAATATCTGTAAAAGTTTTCCCCTAGTTTATTATGTACATTGTGACGGTTTGCGTATACAATTTTTTAACTGAAATGTGAGCTCCAGTGCTTGCAAAAGTTATACACGATGTAATACAATACAATACATTTTAACGAATAACCCTTCAACTCGTCCGGTTCTCTTCACCCTCTGGTACCATAAAACTCAAGTTTCACACAAAGCGGATATTGTGGGTGGTCCATATCCATCGGCTCATTTAGAATATGAGCCAAACCCTTGTGTATGTTAGGGGGTATTACCGCTGTACCAACTATCTCCCTTGAGGCTGAAGGGAAGCACCAATTCAAGCTTCTTATCATTTGGTCTTCAGCGTCAGTCAGCCAGTTGAAGTGACAAATGAACTTTACACGTAAACAAGACGAAAAACCCAGAAATTTATCACGCACTATAGCGTTTGTTTATTTATCATGCTTCACTCCTTTGGCCGTACAGCAGTGCATGTGTCACAGGTTTGTTGGTTTCTATCTGTCAACCAATATTGGTCAGTCGATCAAATAATCGATCACTTAAATAATCCACACGACTTACAACAACCTGACCAGTCGCATGATTCATGATTGTGCATCCAGGTGTGCTACACTCATGCTTGCGCACACACCGCAGAGGTCCAGATTCAATCCACATTTAGTTTCCGTTTAGTGCTTTCGACCTGAGGAAACCCAAGTTCCGGTTTTTGTGATTGCATTTCAAATCGAATAGCACAAACAAAACTGATTACAGAATACTGTGGTCATAATACATCAAAGTCGCATCTTAACAGCGCAACAGTTCTCATTCTTGACTTGAGTGAAACAACCAACTACTACTATTCCGGTAAGCGGGATAGGTTTCTGATCCCCAAGAAACAACCCGGTGGTAAGTCATGTAAGTCATGAATACGTTCTACTCACTGAATTGGCAACACGCTTTGTGACAGATGTTCACACCTTCCTG